CAGACACTATATGAGAAATCTGAGGAACTCTGAAAGGCTAATTTTTTCCTTGTGTTGTTAGGTTTTTATTCAGTAAACTATGATATTTGAGATCCTGTGTGCATGTGAGGGTGATAAGGTGCAAAAAGGAAGTAGTTTTGTTGAAAGTCTAAGACAAAAAAAGGAAAAAACTCGGACCAATAAAGGATACATGATTTTGGACATATTGAGAGTCAAATCTCACTGTTTTATTCATCTGAAACTTTCATGTGTAAAAGCAGGTCTTAGGATTGGATACGATTCAGATTTGGATTTAGGCAATGCGATTTCTTAACGAGGTTCCACAGTATCTATGAGGGGTAGGTTAAGAGACAATACGAGTCGCCCAATATTCCTGGACTTACTGCTCCGAGACTTCCGAATCAGTTTGCCATTTTAATTCCAAAAATGAGTGGCACTGGGGTTTCTCTGTGTGACCTGCTAGCCTCAATCTTTTCATTCTAGTTGTGAGTGGATTTTGAAACTTAGTTGAAAATTCCAAAAATCCATTTGAGTAAGGTAAATTTATGCTTTCATTTGAGAAGGGCGTTGTAATACCTTCCTCGAATGAGATTAATTGTCATTGGATGTGAAGATTGAGGAGATATAAGCAAGAGGAAGTTTAGACTTTGTTATCCAGTTTGGGATATGGGTCCCAAAAGAGAATATTTAGAGCTAAACAATCGTACTGGAATGCCACTACTTTGTAGCACTTCATAAAGTCCCTAGAAACATACTTTAATTATTTGGACTAGCAAACCAAGCACAAAAAATGCTTAACCCAAACGTATTGTTGACTCCATGTGTCAACAAAAATTTCAGACCTTTCGTTTAACAATTTGCTTATCCAATCTTGATAAATATTTTCAGAAATGATTTTTAGCTCTCATCATCTCCTCAAAGTCCAATAGCGCTTTTGTTTGTGAAAAGATTAACTTCAAACTTTTGATAAAATTGAAAGCATAATTATCAAATCGACTAGCCAGGACTTTGAGGTGCTTCTATAATACAATTCTAGCACAACCGTCACTTCATCAAAGCTTTCGATATTTTGCGAATACTAGATCAAAGATACAATCAATTCAATTTATTCCAAATTCTTATTTTAACTTTAGCATTGAAGCTATGTAGAGCCATCAGTATCAAACGATTAAGATAAACTTGACATATTCACGATGGACTTGATATATAAGTATGTGAAAAAGTGTGAAATCCTTGTCGCCTCGTAGCACCATAAGAAGCCACAAGAATATCACCAAAAAAAATAATATCGCGTAGTATATCTCAAAAAATATGTTCTTAGTATATTATGCTATATATTTATTTCGAATGTTGTCTATAGATTTTTTGACTAGACCCTGACTACTAGTTCAAACTCATATCTTTAAGGCTTGCAGAGGAGAAAATTACTTGATAGACCCCATCCGAAGTCTCGATGGATCCAATTCGTTCTATTTTACCCGATGGTATCCTTCCGACGAAAGTTGAGTCCACTGTCATCGATGTTCTACTACGAGTTCTTGTAATTGCTTTGACTCCGGGTTAGAAAAAGCACCGCGGCTCTATGTTGAAAAGTGACTTCTCCCCTGCTGGCACTTCACTGACCAAAATACGCAAGCTACGTGACTTCGGGCAAGAGTTTTAGGAAAAAAAGTAAGGAGTAAGTAGATTACGCCCATAAATTATATCTGTAAAATCATTCTGGGACGTGAGAAATTGGGTTATTGCATGATGAAAATGGGGAGCCATGGGAAATCTGACTAACTTAACTTCGGGAAGAATTTCTTTTATTCATTGAAGTGGAAACAAAGCAGTTACAAGAATATAACTGACAGTGACCCGTGGGAGGGGTCCATGGGGTAAAATGGAACATATGGGTCCCATCAAGCATTCAGCGGTCTGATGGGGTCCCATCAAGTAAATTTCTCGCTTGTAGAGTCTTCCTCGTAAATTCGGAAATTTACGAGTCTCCCCCTTGTGGTTTCAATTCTATGTTTCCAATATATTTGTACATGAATTAAATTGGACAGCCACATTTTTTTCCATACCCTTTTTAGTCAAAAGGCATATATTTAATTTTTTCTCAGTACAGTACTTGGACATCTTATGTGGTAAGCCGTGATTGAAAATGTTCTGAATCAGAACTCCTCACTTAGCTCCGTATAACTTCGCAGGGTTGTTGAGTTCGCTGAAGACACTGAAACGTCAAAGTTTCCTCTCATTTTCACTTCTTCTTACTTCTCACATGTGGCAATCATTTCGTGTGCATTGTTCACGGCTCAAACCTTCGCCCCTGGCAATTCACAATGGTTTGGTGAAATCAACAATTGATTCACTCAGATTGATCAGTTTATATATAGATTAGACAAAGTGAAGTTTTTCGCACAGTTCGAGGCATCTCCTTGCATGACATGGCATTCTCACATGTCGTGTTTCGTTGATTTATCAGGTTGCTTTGCTTTCTTACATAGTAAGTCACCAATATACCGCTGGATCACGTGTCGTTTTTCACGATATGCTCCATTCAGTAGAGGCTCCCACCTGAGAATAACGACACGTGATCAGCGGAAGCTCACACGTCAGCATTCAGCATGGAAAGCTCAGAATTCACTCGTCTCCTTGTGTATTTTGAGACTGTAGTAGGTAAGGAATGTACAATTCTATTGAAAAAGGGAATACTTGAAAATAGGTGGGTGAGGTACAGAGATTGGCATAAGGTTTCAAAATGTCCACTTCCTGCTCATGTTAGAACGAGGTACAGAGCTTTCTGATTCAATTCCGTGGTTGTGTCAATGTGCACAATTGGCAATTGAAGTTCTCTGTGACTTGCGTGTAGTGAGAGGTGTCGTAGGATGCGATTGCAGACAAGTTGAAGATCTGCACGGAAGGTGATATTTCGCAGGTGATTGCAATCATAAATGATGAAGGACCTTGCCATGAGGAAGGGTATCGCTATGATAGAAGGCCAGCCAAGTCTCTTCACAACGCTAGGCCGTCACACAACAGTCGTGTAAGGTCCCGTGTATTTCACCGTAAGGTCCAGACGGTGAAATACGTTCATTCAGTAGAAAATTGCAAGCCAGTTTCAACTTGGGTTCGCAAAATTGGAATATGGAATTATATTACAGACCAGCTCATTGTCGATGCAGAATGCAGTGCCAGCCCGCGGGAGGGCAGACAGGACCACAGAATCTTCCGTCCAATGCAGAGGCGCAAAGTACAATCGGTTCCCAATCACTTCGCTCAAATCAACATGTCCTTTCTCCCCTGTAACCATGTTTGAAACAAAATTTAGTACACGGCTCAAGAAGCAAACGCCTTCTCCACCCACAACTCAGCGAGTGCCGTTTTTCCAGTAAACCTGCACACTCCTCATCGTCGAACTCCACCGCGCTCACTTTCCCTCACACTCCCGCCTGCCTAGATCGTATATTTTCTTAAGCTTAAATTGCAGGAAGTCACCCATCACCACTTACTGCAGCAATTCATCGACACTGATTTGATTGTAGACATGGGCACACGGATCTGAGAAAGTGGATAATGGGAAACATACAAGTCTTATGACAGGGTCGGGACTATTGCGCTTTCCTGAAACCCTTCCGGGTAGACGATCCCGAAAGCCACTGCAGGTAATAGGAGGTAGTGTTCAGGTGAAGCGTAAGTCGTGCTGGGAGTTGCAAGTGAAGCCGAGTTGGAGCAGGGAAGAAATCGGCAAAAGATTCTCCTTACTCCCGGTTGTCTTCGAGAAATGTAGCTAATTTGTAACAATCGATGGCGTGTCCCAGTAAAATATGATCAAAGCTGTCTTCACAATGTCCAATTCTCCTTTCGATTTCAAGAAAGGGTGAATCTAAACTACCATAACCAGACAAAAGCATCGGAAACAATTTACACAAAGAGGAATAAATCCATCGTTAGGATAGACCAGACGGACGAGAAAAAGGTTCAATGCTGGGAAGGAACGGGGAGGAAACGAAGAGCAAGGCTGACATCGAGCACTAGGAGAAAGAAGGAAACCAAGCAAAATTCGAAACCCCGCCAATTCTCTCAAAGCCGCGAGGACAGTAAAAGCCCTGGCCCATACAAATGCAAATGCCCCGGCAATCGTAAGTCATCAGCCGCCTCGAGCTAGCCTGATACGACTGTCGCCAATCCGAGAGTGAGTCACAAGAATTCCTAGACGAAAATGCCGTCCAGTTTCGAATTGGGCGGGGAACCGCAAAACCCCAGGGTGACGGTCACACACGAAAGGTGTACGTATGTTTTTTTTTACTATTCTTAAAAATATTTATCTCAATTTGATGTTTTCTTTGTCCATTCTATATCTCGCTTAGTGTAAAACTGACTTTAAAAACTTTAACACTACGAATAAAGTTTACATGCTATTGATCACTTTTTGTCTTGCAGTTCCATCACCTCCTGTATATCGTGAACCGGAGAGCATACAAGTCGGGGTTGATCTAGCCAAAGGCCTACTTAGGGTGATGCGTCAAATTACAGCGATTAGCACCGAGGAAACTGCTTAAAAAAAGGTTCACCATGCAATAAAGGCTGGGAAACGTGTCTTGGAAGGAGGTGTCAAATCCCAGCGGTGGGAGTAGGGCAACTTTCGACATATTTCAAACGAGGTACTTTCACTTATTACAAGTAGGAAGACCTGTAATTCTCTAAGGTGGACACTTGGTGTGATGTGTCAAAATCCAAGCAATTGCCATTGAACAACTGTGGACAGATTTTAGTGAAGGCACTTTTCATGTGGAGATCCATGGATTTCAGCATGGATATCTACAAAGATTGTTTGCTGACCCAAACTAAGATGTCAATTTAGGAGTTTTCAAGTTTGGCGACAACCAACCACTCAAAGTATTTCTGTTGATTGTTGCGAGGTTTGCACTTAAAATTGTTATAAACACCCCTAGAGTTACCATAATAAAAATATGGAAATATTAAAAAAAATAAAAATGAACTTCCAATTTTGTTACCTGCACACTTCACATATAATAATTTTTCAAATATTTGTAATTTGTAGTTTGCCTCTTACAACTGGACAGCAAAACTTTGCTCCGGCTGATATAAAAGTCAATCTTGAGAGTTCTCCAAACTCTTCATATTCTTGTAAATATAGATAAATATCAATTTCTTTTTAATCTGGCTGAGACCTACTACGATAATTAATTTGACCTAATAGTTTTTCTAGTGAAAATGACATCAGTCCCTGAAAGAGAATCTGTAAATAAATAAAATCTGAACTTAAACCTAAAAAACTATTTAAAAGATGTGAACCAGATAGACTGCAAGCATTTCCAGGCTTAAGATGTTACATGTTTCAAGTTGACCTGCTCCACTTCCAATCTAGAATTGTTTTTTTCGAATCTGCATGTGTGATTCCCTATGTAGAAATAAAAATAACCTGATTAATCAACACAGATTCGACACGTTAGGAGATAACCACAAGCTTGGAATCGTCAAACAATCACCTAGTGTACATAAAAGACCAATTCTAACATTTGTTTTACTGTAAGGTTAAGAAACACAATATTCAAGAGGAAACTTTGATGATTAAGAGTCTTCATCTTTCAGTAGCCTCAAGTGACGAGTTTTGAATCATGATACTTCGAAGCATGGCTGTCTGGATTATATGTTCAAGAGGTGAATAAGGTTTCAACTATAACTTAAAGGGATAGGGGGTAGGGTATACCTCTGGATGTTTTCTGCACGTGTGACATGACTTACTCTTGGGACGGCGTCGTCATGTAGAGAAAGAAACTATATCTGTGGAAAATTAAAAATTGCATAGTATCAAGAGGCACAGAGTATCAGGCTGAGATGTTAAAATATTGATGAATCTCTTGATTCTATGTCGAGAAGAGCAGAAGCCTAGCTAGATCGATCCATTAACTGTAGCCCTCGATCACGAACACCATGTACGTCAAACCTAAAGAAAAATCACATAAACTCTACATTAAGCAATTTTCTGAGATAGGCAGTCATAGAAATTTAAAAGTTACTGAGTTTCCTAATTGTAAGAACAGCTGTAAGTGGGCGATAAAGTATATACCCTGACAAGCTTTGAACAAGCGGTATGAAGAACTGATGTAACGAGTGCCCAAAGTGATTCCTAACCTGCTGAGCCGAGGTAGCAGGTATGACTTGACATGCACTTTCAAATAAGAAAACAAAACACCTTGTAATGCATAAAATTTCGAACAGCGTCAGTTTAAGATCAACGCACTTTTCATATCTATGGAAAACAGGTAAGTACAATGAACTTGATACAAAATGACACCCAGAAACAAATTTACTGACCGGCGAACCAGACGCTGCAATTCTTCTATGTAGTAAGTACCTTGATGAGACAGACACGGCGTAACTACGTCGCTTGATTCATCCAAGATGAGGGTTCCCAAGGTGTAAATAGTTGAGACAAGGATGGTGGATGCGTCCTCCGCTTGCAACAGCTTTCTCGTCCTTTCAATTTTTGAAACCTGAAGCAGGTGGCTGTTCTGGACTTGCAGTCAAGGGGTAATATCAGCTACTAAGGTCCCATTCTTTTTATAGGAGCTGTAGCATTTCTCACAAATCCAAGCACACTTCGCAAGTGTACCATCTTTGTCCCTCAGTGCTGCTTTCCTAAGGCCTATTTTCCGCCAAAACTCAGCACGTCCAACTGCCTCGATGAATTCTCTCAGTGTCTCTGCCGCCTCTGCTCTGTCCTTCAGATTGATTGGATGTTGCGCTGATGATCCAGGAGCATCAATTTGGTGGTTCCCACTCCTGAGGGCGCTTTCTCCGAGAGTAGCAACAGACTCTACGACAAGAGCTAAGTTTGCGCCTTCCGAGTAGGGTAAATTTGGGAGAAGCAATCCCAGTCCAGGCAACGCCGTAGCTCCTACAACTCTTGCTACAACGATGGCGACTGCCAGGGACCATTCCAACAAAGGCTGAAGCTTGCGCACCCACTTCTTTGGATTGGTTATCTGCACACCTTCTTGTCCTTCGACTTCGTGCAAGTAGCCATTCTCGGACCGTGCTTCACAAAGCAGGTGCACGTGAAAGGTAGACCCAAATGCTTCCTTGACTGTAATCCAGGATCCAGAAGCAGAGGCTTTCTTGAGATACAAAAATCTTGGCAAGCTGCTCTCCTTCTCTGCCACAGAGTAGCTGTGGAAGGCGTGCAACTTCCTCAGAATTTGATTTTGCTTGTCGAAGATGAATTTGATACTATGTTGAAGCTCTGCCACCCTCGTGTCCAAGTGGTTTCGGATGAGTTTTCCCTGCAACCGAACCTCACTCCTGGTGAGAGAACCCTGTCTTCGAATTTCTCTCACGATGCAGCTACTCTCCGGGCTGAGTGGAAGCTCCTCAGGGGGAACTGCTCGACTAAGTTCATTGAGGTCGGTGTCATCAACATCGATCCCCAGCTCACGAACGCCTTCTTCGAGACCCTTACACCGCCTGCCAATGGTCTTTTCTAACCCATCCAAGTCTTCGGCCGACAGCAAGTCATCATAGCGTACGTATTGCCCATCGACACACCAGTTGCTGCATGATCCCAGACCTTCTTCCTCTACCTTCTTGATGAAAAAATCTACGGGTTTTAAAATTCTATCTTTCATAGACGGCGTAGATGTCGCTGTACTCCACGGCAGTATCACCTTTCGGTGGAACTGTACTCCTGGACAGCAGAAAATGCCAATGGGCTCCAACTTATCCATGATATCCTCGATCACATTTAGCTGCTGCTTCCGAACGCTGGCAGGATCGTCGTCCATCAACCCCAAAGGTTTGACGAGAATATCGATTCTTTCTTCTGGATCTTTCTCGCTGACATCGAACTGCAGGAGCACGCTCATTTTCCGAAAGTTGAAGTTTGAGGAACTCTTGGACGCCGTGTAGGACTCACACTCTGCCTCCCGCGCCAGAGAAACTTGCAACTGTCGGAACAAAGCGGCCGGAAGAGCAGTCTTTGCGCTGTCCTTCAAGGTCAGGGAGCGGCCCATGACCCACTGACGTGCAGCTGCCTCCCTGACTCCGCATTTCTCCCACCGATCCATGTCATCTGTCTTGATCAGTGCAGGCACCAGGACTCTGTCGTTATGAACTCCACCCCTGTAGCAGAGCCCCAGACACATCAGCATGGTCACCACCCATGACTCGGGCTCAGTGCCTAAATTTTGCTGTAGAAACAAGTGCAATCTCTTGAGCGAGATCGACCCGTCTTCGTCGACTTTGAATCCCACTGAGGACCGCTCCTCCTGCCGAATACTGTCAGGGAGTAGCAGCTCTCCCACAACTCGTTGACAAAACCAATTGGGATCCAGAACGACAAGACCTGCAATTGCGATGTCCGGATCGGACATCCTCAGCCTATCCTGCTTGAATAAGACAACGCTTCCCGCTTCGTGAAGGAATTCCAAGGCGGCCATCAGGTTCATCTCATTCTGGTGTTTGGCGCGGAATTGGAGTAGGAAGTTTTCCAGCGTGAGAACAGGAAACTTTCGAAAATCCGGATTTGCTTTCCTCTTGTTCAGAAGTTTAGGAAATTTCTGACAGATCCCTGGCATGAACTGGCCTTGCAATAACTCTCGGCACAGAGCGATCAAATGCCTCTTCAACTCACCCACCGACGCACGCTTTCGAGCATCCAGAACGAAAGGAGTGGCACGGATGTGCAATAAATCCTGGAATGTGTCTTTCTGCTTCATGAGCAAGTCCACCCACATGACCAGCTCCGAACATTCCCGTCCACCGAAGCAGTTCAGCACCACCAAGACATGGCGTTTGATCCCTGGCTCGCAGCTGGAAGCGACGAACCTCAACCAGAACAGGAGTTCCGTCTCCGAGTGGCCTGGCTCGTAAGTGGCGTTGCACACAATGACGAAGATGGTCGCCTTGCCCTCCGCCAGGCAGAAGGCGCTGTGCAGCACTCGGTACTCGGCTTGGCCCGCCAAATCCCAGATGGCGAGCACCACGTCCGGTTTGCCTCGCCGGCCCTTCTTGACGATGTGAGTAACTTCGATACCTCGGGTCCGAGGTTCTGCTGTCCTGCTGCCACCCACAGTCCAGCTCGATCTCATGGGTCTGCACATAGCGCCAACTTTGCTCTGCTGCAGAGTTCGTCGAAGGGTTGTTTTCCCAACCTTCTGAAATCCGCACAGGAACGCCTTGCCGGTGGTTGCTGGCACGTCCTTCTCGTCCTTCAAGTTGTGTCTGGCAGAAGTGAAGGCCACATTACGCTTGCGGAATTTCTCGGCGTTGGTTGCGAAGGAAGTGTTGGGCCACGGAAAAGTCTTCAGCTGTAAGGTCAGAGCCTCGTTGCTCGAGTAGGCCGAGACGAAGGCTCGGGCGCTTCGTTCCGACACATTCACTTCGAACAGGTGCAGCTCCTTGAGACTTGCGGAGCACCGGCCCTCCTCCAGGAAATTCGCCAAGGCCAGCATTCCCTCTTCCTGAATCCAGTTGAATCGGATGATCAGCGCTTCCAGCCGGGGTAGATGCCCCGAGCGCAGCGCCTTCAACAACTCTGCCATTCCGGCGTCTCCGATTTTGTTCTCCTCCACATTCAGGAACTTGAGCACGGACGCCCTTCCCGACATGGCCTCGGAGATCACTCTCATCCCGCCGTCGAGGATCTCGCACTTGCACAGCGATAGGTACTCCAGATTCGACAGGTGACCGGAACTCCACAGCCCTGCAATCGCTACGCTCCCGCCGTGTCGAAGAGGATTCCAGGACAAATCTAAGTGCTTCAATTTGGACCCTGGATTCGATTCCATAGCGCGCGCGAGAACCGCCACGGCGTCTGCTTCTAAACAGCAATTCCGGAGGCTGAGATGGACAACTCGCGAGAGCAGCCCCGCATCCAGAACTTCCCTCATCTCATGACTTCTCTGCTCCAGCTCCCTGCTGCCCTCCAGGTCCACATGGTCGAGGTTCGATACTGCTCCGCAGCGCAAAGCTTCGGCGATGGTGGGCACGTGACACGGGGGCAACGATAGCTGCCGAAGCCCGCTCAGATGCCCGGACCTCAAGGCTGCCGCGATGGCCTTACTGCATTCCATTTCCACTTCCACATCGTAAGAAGTTATGGACAAATCCAAGTGCGTCAAGCTGCCACAGCGTCCCGACTCCAGAACTCTGAACACGGCCACGATCGTTCGCTCGTCGAGCAGGTTCTCAGACAGGTCCAGCTTCGCCAGCCGACTCAAGTCGGCCTCCTGCAGCACTTCCACCAGAGCCTTCGCCTCATCGTCGCTCAGACTCTGGTTCCAGCATCCCTGCTCCACATCGTACTGGCCCCGCAACTGAAGGCACTGTGTGCTTCCGATCTCATCCCAAAGCGAGTTGTAATGTCGATCGTGGTCCGAAGTGCCCTTCTCGGTTCTCGCCAGATCAGACAGCTTCTTCCTGATACTGGCGGCACTTTTCTCCTCGAAATCCATCCTTGAAGAGAGAGAGGACAGCTATGCAGCTAGAGCCTCACCACCGAGCTGGCGATCCTGAAGCTTGGCCATCGATCGAATGAACCGGCACGGCAGATGTCATGGGCTGCGAACCTGTACCAAGGTGGGCGAACGACGGACTGCACATCTGAATCTCTACACCTGTGGCCAGCACGGGCCAGAAATAACAATCCCGTGCACGTCTGGTACAACAAACGGGAAGCATGAATTCCTCGATAGACCTGCCCAGTCGACGCTCCAACCGAAGGTCGCTGTCAAGAGCGACGAGCTCTCGGAGTCCTTCGAGTACGTCCATAAACACGCCCTATGTATAAACATACTGGATTCAAGCCAGACACAGTTCACCTCAGAGATTTCTCCATCCGAGCCACGAAGCTCAAGCCACGCGGAGACTCCTGCTGTCCGGGTTCCTGACGTCTGGACTTGGCCCACAGAAGACTTTCGATCACCACCACAATCGTGTTTGGAAGGTACCAGACTTCATCGTCCTTCTTACTTGGAAGTTCCTCCCGCTGAATCGAATCGACTGTAGGAAGCGCGCCTGCTAGTAACGCCTGCGTTAAACGAATCCATGTCTACATTGTTATGCAATAGACGAGGTTTTTTTTAAAGATAAATGTTTAGAAGTCATCAGTTAAGTAATCAGAGTTACAATCTTCGAAACAGAAGATCCCAATTTCACAATTGCTTCACAATCATTTCAATTATTTCACATATGTATCGTGTCAAATTTGCACACAGATTGACAGCTTTGTGGATGTCATGTGAAAGAATAGGTATATAAATATTGTAATGGATGACAACTAAAACACTTCTGTCCTCCTTCACTATCAACATCTTCAATATCTATTTTCATAATATTTTTGTTTTTTTATTGTAGATACACATCTCTTTTAGGTTTAGGCAGAAGATGTTAAAAGGAGATTTAATCCTCTACAATTCGTCTTATTTTCTACAAAATGTATTTCAGAATTTGAATTACAGCATAAAGTATTACTTTGTTATTTTTCTAGGTATGAAGGAACTATTTGAAAGAAATTTTTTATTGAATATAAAGAATTAAGTCGAATGTAAATTTTTTTGATTTTATAAAGTTTTTTTGAAATTTTTTGAATGTTTTAAAAATGATAGTTTGAAACATTTATTGAATAAAATTAAATAATTTCATTAACAAATTGAAATCTTTATAATTATCATTTGCAAGAATAATTTTGAAGTACGTATTTTAATAATCATCAATACTATCTGATTTTATTCTAATTCAGATAATTATCATATGATTTGGAGAAAAACTGGGAGTAAAAAAGTATCATATTTACAATTTAGATGGATTGTGGAAGAGAAAAAAACTTCAAAAAATGTGGTAGTTTTGTTGATGTATAATGAATTATTATTCTGATGTGATAATGACGTTCTTATGATGCAATATAAATGCCGAGGATTGATATACTCACTCAATCCCAGCTTTCGTGTCGGCACCCTTCACGACACTAAGGAACATGGAATATCAAGTCAAGGTAAACTTACAAGGGCAATTGTTACCACAAGCGTACAGCTGGGGATCTAGACCATTGCCTTCCATGAATTCAGGACATTTACAGTGATAGCTCTCATCAATGTTGACGCATGTAGCAATACTGGAGCAATTGATACTATTTTGATAAAAAAATGTCTAATCATCAGGGTAAAAATTACATTACTTTCATGTCAAATGAATTAACATTACTCTTTTCGTCATACATCTCTATGAGTACCACACGAATATGTTTCAAACCCTCTATAAAGACACATACATGTAGTATGAAAATGTATAGGCGTTGCAAATGAAGCTACTGATTTCAAGTAGAAATATTTTTTTTGCTGCATGATGATGTATAAAAAGGTTGATGTAATCAAATTTGTGTGGAGTGCCGTTAGGTATGATTGAGAGTTAAAAATTGCTGAATTGTAGGTGGTTATCACATATAAAAAAGATTGAATAAATGTAGATAGAGAAAGAAGAAGTGGTACATATTATCCTTTGTGTAGAAAAACGAAGTCAGAATATCAAATTTCAAGCTTAAGTCTCCTTTGAATAATCGCCAAACCATTAAAAGTTGAGTATTGAGTACAAGATCGTATACAAATTCTGATATAAAAATATATTCAAGTTTATATCACTCAACTTTTTCATATGATCGAGAAATACATGAAGACAAGCAAGAAGGTACATTCTACCTAACAGCAAAAGTGGCAAGTTGAAGATAAATAATTTTTAATCATTCACAAAATGTTTAAAAAATATTATACAATATTTTTCAATCACAATCAATCAAACTATTTCACATAATCATGATTAAACTTATCATAATAAATTTATTATTTGATATAAAAAAATTTCCAATAAAAAAAGCACGTATACAATAAAATCAAGTCAAATTTATACTTAATAACATCATACATATTTAGTAAATGCAATAAATTACTTCTAAAATTAAATTTTATAAATTTAAAAAAAATAATTAAATGATTTTTAATATGTTGTTTTTTTTAATACAGATTTTTTCCGTATAACCAATACAAGCTAAAAAACAAATAATAAGCATTATCAACTTTTGGTTAATTTGTACTTATTTATGTTATTAAACTATAAATTTTCCATATATGACATTGTTATGAGCTAATTTAGGTTTTGATAACGGATATTTAGTATAATCATGATTAGTTAAATAGGTCCGCTATACAAAAGTACTATCATAAATACTTTGTGATACAATTTAAGCTTTTTAATTACCAATGTTTGTATTTGATGAATGTATTCATGTTGATATTGATCACATATTTAGTGTTAAGTTTTGACAATGCATATTTTTGTGAATGTCATTTTTTTTGTGGTCAAAAGCATACTAAAAAGGTTGTTGTTGTAATAAGTGTGAGTTAAATTCAATTTTTTATTTTTTTTTGAATACTCATCAAAATTCATTATGATTTGTTGACAGTACTGTAAATTATTGATTGATGACACAAATATAGTTTATATATATTTTTAACTTGTTAATATTAATTTGATTCTTGGATTAGACTTTAAACTATCAAACTTGAGTTAGAGTTAAATTCAGTCTTAATCATAGTTAAATTGAACTTAGAATTTCTCCTAGCTTGTATATATATATATATATATACATATGAAAGAATAATACTTGAATCGCATTGAACAATTGATGGATTTTTCACTAAAGATATTGTTCTTGTAGTGAACGTAGCTTGACAATAATTAACCGCATATAAATATTTTGTAGATTTTTCAATAAAAATTATGTTGATTTTGTGAACATAGTTCAATAATGATATAACATTAGGATTTAGAGAGATGCTCACATAAAGCTGAAACACAAACTCTAAAGAATATATTTACTCTTCCTCATATAAATACTTCAAACACATACACAAATATAAGATCTTATCTTTATCATCCAATACTTTCCTAATGGATTGATGACATAATGTATATATTTAGTGGACACACAAATTGTTGATGTGTTGTTTTCAACTAACACCTTAACTATCACATTCAATCCTTATCTAATAAACACGTAAATTGATGACGTGTCGTTCTCAATTAACATATGAACTAACACATTCAATTCTTACATAAGAAGCATGTAAATTGATGGTATATCAATTTGTTTGATCAACTATTGTATGAGTGAAATAGAACTAGAAGTAACCAAAAAGTTAATCATGATTAATTTAATTATGACTAAATCTAACTAGTTATAATTAAGTTTATTAAGATATAACTATGTTTAGCTATAATATCTATATTTGGCAAAATTATTAGAGAATTTTTAGAAGATTTGAGTGAGCATTTCTATTTTGTTTTGTACAAAAGTCTAGATTACAACAAAAAAAACATTTGATTTCATGTTTGGTTTTGATTTATTTTACTAAGTAATTGACACTTCATTGGCTAAACTAAGTTTAATGTTAACTTAGTGACAAATTGAGGTTCTAAAATTCAGAAAAGTACAAATGTCATGTCATCATCTCAATCTAGGTATTAATAAACATCTCAAAGATTTATGAGATCAATGACATGTTGTCGCATATTAGTAACTAGTCAAACTTACTATGATTTATCTTTGTAAAAGTATATAAAAATAACCATTTGTTAGTATGATAAATTTTCAAATATAATATATAGAGAGGTAGAAAAGAGACTCTGTGGAAAATTTAGAAAGTTCATGTGTATTTACTTGTTTCATACATGAAAAAGTGACATTTTTTAGCATCTTGGAGTGTCGATCTTGGAGCAGACTTCAGTTGACTCTTGCATTCATCGACATCGGATTGGTGTTTTTGCCAAGATAAGCATGTTTTCAACATATAGTACTAAAATGATGAGATTGAACTTCTCATCATTCACTTTCTTTATATAGACAAAATGATCATACACGCTTCGTAAAAAACCTTGTGCCTTCATAAACTCATCAAAACGTGTATTTCACTGCATAGGAGCTTGCTTCAATCCATGCAGTGATTTCATCAATCTACAAACCAAATTCTTTTGACCTTTGACCTCAAAGCCAATTGGTTGTCTCATGTAGATCTACTACTCTAAATAATTAGATCTACTTCTCTAAATATTCAAAAAGAAAGACTATGACCATATCCATCTAGTCCATAACAAGACTGAATATTGCGGCCAGTGCACATACCAGACAAATTGTAGCATACTTTGCTACAGGCAAAAAAACCTCGTTATTATCCACATACTTCTTTTGTGTGAAACCTTTAGCCACCAACCTGGCTTTGAAGATTCTCGCCTCATCACTGCTGGATTGTCTTTCAACTTGTACACTCACTTGGAGTTAATCAATGGCTGATTTTCAGGAAGCTCAACCAACTTCCAAATCTGGTTGTCAATAAGTGAATTCATGTCTCGCTCCAACGTTCTACTCAAGCTTGTTAACTGAAGCTTGAACTTCCTTGTATCAAGAAGGTTCAACTTCTTCCAAAATCAACGCCATACCATCTTCATTTTCAAAAGTAAAGTCATGATCTTTGAGAATAAATGAGTTGGCCTATACACCAAATCTCTCAAGAGCTTTACTAGGACGTTTTGATCTCCTAGTAGACGTTTCCATTTGATCTCTCTCATCTAAGATTGTTGCAATAGGCTCATCAACAATAGCTTGCTTCTGTAGTTCATGTTACTAAAGAACTTGCTCCTCATGCATCGGTGCTTCTTCATATGACAGCTCATTAGTGATAGAATGATCAAACTTCCCCACAACAACATCCGTGAGTAAAAATTTCCCCTTGTCAGTTTGAGAAGCTTGAAAAAACTCCCCCTCTTTCAATAAGCTAGGCTCATTGAAAGAAACATCTCTATCAAAAATCA